AGGCATCAGCATTAGCTTGTCTGGCCACCGAGTTGAGGTGACAGCAACCTCCTCCAGTATCCTTTTGAGCCTGGCTAACAATCTTTCCAAGGAACACTCATCACTGGGCCATAAAGAAATTCCCTTTAAGGGGCTATAAAATAAACCCGTTTTCAATGAACTTGCCAATGAAGGAACCAAGAATGTCAAGCCAAAGTGTGGTTTTATTTATCTGTTTGGTTGTGGAAAGATTAAAAGCAGAATGTTTATTGGCAAAATAATTTTTTTAATCACCCACACATTTTAACTTATTATTTATAATGACCCTTTCTGCTCTCAAGAAATAATGTGTTTTGACTATATTAGGAAAACAGTTGTTCTAGAAAATTTATTTATACATACATAACAGAATTGTCAAAGCCAAAGGCAAAGCAGTGTTTAAGACTTAACCTAAATTGTCACTTTGATTTGGTTAAATAAATGCATCAACTTCCACTTCTGCTATGGAGGATTAAGTAATATGCTATGAAATTCCTTCAGAGGACAACTAAGAAGATAATATAGATATATTATAAATAATAAAAAAAAGACATTTTCAAAACATCAGAGAGCTAATAAGTGAGGAATTGCTTCGTAAAGATCCAAGAGAAGATGAACTTGAAAGAGGTGAGCCTGTCATGAAAGTTACTATTGCCCAAGAGGAATTTGCCAACCAGTGCTTAAAACATCCTCACTAAAGTAGAGGATCAAAGTTTAGCATCCTGAGTTACATGGGAAGAAAGAAGACGTGTTCTTCATGGAATATCCATTTGTATCTTTTGATTTCTTATATCATGCTCAGGTATCACATTATTTTTTTTAAAGATTTATTTGAGAGAGAGTGCGCGTGCGTGCGCGAGCAAGCATGCGTGCACAAGCAGGGGGTGGGGGAGGGGTAGAAGCAGAGGGAGAAGCAGACTCTGCACTGAGCAGGGAGCCCAACACGGGGCGCTCAATCCCAGGTCACGACCTGAGCCAAAGGCAGACGCTTAACCGACTGAGCTACCCAGGTGCCCCACTCAGGTATCACATTAAAATAGAAACAGATCTAAGTACTATTATTAAATGCTCTGCTCTGAGCCATTTAGTGAGTAAGAATAATGAATCATATGTTCCTTAAGATCAATGGACACATATCTATACTCTAATTTTTCCAAACATAAAAGTCAATGTTATTTTGAGGCTTATAAACATAGTAATAGAATGTACATTTCTATTTCTTTACTCCATTTTTCAGGATCCAGAAATAAGGCTTAGACAGCAATACTTCTTTGTACTAGGGAATGCAAGTCTAAAAATATTAAAAATATGCTTTTAACGATCAGTCAAAAAATGAGACACTTAAAGAGCTAAGATTTCTGAGCCTGAATGCAATAAAGAATGCAAGGCAATAACTGTAAGGAACAAACACATAAAAGGTTAATAATGACTATAAATGCCAAGTATTTTCCATGTTCCCTAAAGGCAATATTGAGGGCATCTTATTGTTTTAATGCAACCCAGTATCCCTTCCTTACCTTGTGGTAAACACTACTCCTCTGCAACTCCCAAACCATGTGGGAGGGGCAGAAAGCAGTGGGATTGACTCCAGCTCCTGAGGTAGCTGTCTTCTGCAATAGCCCATCCCTCCGGCCAAAGGATTGGTGCAGTGATTAACTTTGAGGCTTAGGGAAATTTTATGCATTGGGATGTCTAGAAAAGAAAAACTAGGGGAAGCTATTTTGCAACTTTGAGAAAACTGAGACACATTCAATCTCCAGAAATCACCTCCCCTTCTATGCTGAGTACTATTGTTTTAATAACTGTTATTGAGTGGAGAGAAAATATAGTACAGGAGTCAAGAGCACAAACTATAGAGCCACACTCTTGGTCTTAACCTCTGCTTTGCTTCTTAACTAGCTGTGTGACCTTGGGCAAGTCACTTGAGCTATCTATGACTCAGTTTCCTCATCTATAAAATAGGAATAATAGTAGAATCCACTTGATAAGGTTGAAGTTTAAATGAATTAATCCATGAAAAGCACTTAGAACATTGCATTTGCACAGGGTAAGTGCTATATAAATGTTAGCTATCATTATTGTTATTGTAAGGATTAAATGAACTAATAAGTGTAAAGTGCATAGAACAGTGTCTGACACATAGTAAACCCTGTGTAAGTATTATTCATTGTGATGCTGACTTTGGCAGCACATATACTAAAATGTTATCCAGTATTAAGACCATTCATTCATTCATTCATTCAACAAATATATACTGAGTGTCTTTTCTGTGCCAGGCCAATATCTTCATTCTAGACCAGCAGTATCCAATGGAAATGTAATGTGAACCATAAATGTAAGCCAAGTATGTAATTTTAAATTTTCTAGCAGTCACATTAAAGAAGCAAAAAGAAGTAAGTAAAAGTACTTTTAATAAAATATCTTATGTAATCCAATATCCCAAAATGATGTAATCTCAACATGTAATCAATATTTAAAAATTGAGATACTTCACATTTTTTTCATTTTAAGTCCTTCTAACCTACTGTGTATTTTGTATGCACAGCACATATGAATTCAGCCTAACCACATTTCAGCTGCTCAACAGCCACCTGTGGCTAGTAGTTAACATGCAGTTCTAGACATTGAAGGTTAGGGAACTAGAGGAAATGTTATCTTTGTCCCCCACCCACCTTGCTACTAATTACACATGTTTTTTCAATTTGCAAAGTCCCTTCACATTCATTACTCCATTTGATAGGAACATGCCTCGCTTTGAAGGATGGATTAGATTTTATGAAGTGCAGAAAATTTCCGTCAAGAAGAAACACATGAGCAGAAACAACAGGCAGGAAAGCAAGGGGTCTGTCAGGAAATTAGAAGTCAGGGAGATAAACAGGAGATATATCAGGGAATCAGTACTAGACCAGGGAGGCTGGGCATTATTTGTTAGGTGGCAGGAGTGGGAGAAAGTGAAGGTTGTGAGCAGGAAGGAGGCAAAATTGGATTAAACTGGCAGTTAAGTATACCATAAAATGGAGTGGGACAAGCTAAAGGTAGTTCATCAGGAAATCACTGCATTAAATCTCAGGAAGAAATGATCAAGACAGGGAAATGGAAAGGAAGAGATAACTTAGCAGAGTCTGGTACTCAAGAGATCCCAATGTTAGCTCCCATCCTCCTTTGTTGACTGGTGAAATTTTTAGGGACCTTTTAGAAAGATATCCCCCCACCCCTCCCCACCCCCAGGTCAACCAACAAATATTTGGGTACCTACTATCTGCCAAGGGCTATGATAGAACTTAAGATATAAAAGGCAACAAGGCAGGTGGGGTTCCTGACTTCTTAGATCTTCTATTTTCTTGAAAGAGACAAAAATCAATTACCGGATAAATAAAATAATTTCACATTGTCAAGCACTATGGAGAAAATAATCACGGAGATGAGTGGCCAGGAAAAGGTACTCAGAAGTGGTGACACTTAAACTGAGATCTAAAGGATAAAAGGAGGTGATGTAAAGGAACCAGGGGAAGAGTACTCCAGGTGGAAGAAAAGTATGTGCAGTCTTGGAGGCATGAAAGACTTGGAGGTGCTCCAGAAACTAAAAGAACAATGTTGGTAGAGCACAATGTGGGTGGGGATTGTGGCAGAAGGTACAGTGAAAGGCACAATGAAGTGGACAGGTCGTGATAAGCCTGTAGACCATGAGAATGAACTGGATTTCATTCTAAGAGCAATAGGAAATCACTAAATTTTAGTGTCTTAAAGGTTATATACAAGGGAATGAGAGGGTTTCTATATAAAAAAAAATCACTGCAGTGTGAAAAACTGGTTAAGCCTGACAAAGGTGGAAGCTGGAATTTCAGTTAGAAGGCAAGGAGAGTAGACCAGGTAAGTTGATGGGGACATGGTCCAGGTTAAAAAAGGTCCTTGGTACAATTAATGACCCTTTGCAATATTTTTGCAAAAATGATCCTCTATGATTGTGCTGCAAAAATCTCAAAAGTAGTAAAGGATTCTGTCTTGTCCTATTATACACTTTTTTGGGGGGTAAATGCTCCCCCAAAAGTCAACATTAAACAGTTTGTTCTAGGTTTGTTCTAGGACATTCTTAAAATCTTAACCAACACTATTAAGTGCAAAATATAATCATCTCGAAAAGGTAACCTTTTCGAGCTGACACGTTGCTTGAGCACTCGGGACTTGGCGCGGGGGGGGGGG